GGGGGGGAAGCCGTGGGTGAGTGGCGGTGCAGGGTCCGGCTGGGACGGTCCCCAAGGGCCACCCCAAGTGGCTGCCCATGGGGTACGGGCAGGGCTCCCCATTGCTTTTCAGCGCCCAATGGGGCCCTCACTGTGGCATGGGGTGACCTGGTCTGTGTCTGGGCTGGGGGGAGGGATCCCCTCCCCCCCAATGCCACCCCGATGTCCCTGCTGTCCCCTCTCCGCAGGCGGGTACTTGGCGCACAGCCTGGCCATCCTGACGGACGCAGCCCACCTCCTGACGGACTTCGCCAGCATCATGATCAGCCTCTTTGCGCTCTGGGTGTCCTCACGCCCCCCCACCAAAACCATGAATTTCGGCTGGCACCGGGCAGGTAACGAGGTGGCACCACTCCCAGGGCTGCCATCCGGCTCCCGGGGTCCCCAGGGAGCACCCGGAGCATCCCAGGGTGTCCTCTCCATGGGGACTGGGTGCCTTGGGGAGCTCTGGGGAACACGGGGAGCCCTGGCAAAACCCCGGTGCCACGGGCACGGGTGGAGGCACCGAGGAACGGGGATGGGTGCTGGGTGCCCACCTCGAGCCCTGGTGTTGCCGGGGACTGGGAGGGTGCTCAGGCTCGGCGCGGTGACGAAATGTCAATGTGGGGCTTGGGGGGGGTCTCCGCAGAGATCCTGGGGGCCCTGCTCTCCGTGCTCTCCATCTGGGTGGTGACGGGCGTCCTGGTCTACCTGGCGGCCCAGCGCCTACTCTCGGCTGACTACAACATCGAGGGTGGCGTCATGCTCATCACCTCTGCCTGCGCCGTGGCCGTCAATGTCGTGTACGTATGATCACCTCTCACCCTCCCTGGGTGTCCTCCACCCCATGCCTGGTGGCCCCCGGGGATGTCACCGCTGCCCTGCCCGCAGGATGGGGGTGGCTCTGCACCAAACAGGACACGGGCACAGCCACGAGGCAGCCGGTGAGCAGCCCAATGCCAGCGTCCGCGCCGCCTTCGTCCACGTTGTGGGGGACCTGCTCCAGAGTGTTGGTGTCCTCATCGCATCCTACATCATCTTCTTTAAGGTCTGGGTGGTCATGGGGACAGAGGGGCACTAGGGGACAGCAGCTTCAGCTAGCCCTGACCAGGCACAGGGGTGAGATGGAGAGGACTGTGCACCCTCCCCGCTAGTGCCGATGGGGATTTGGGGTGGAGTGACGACACCGGAGGGACCTCACCCTCTTCCACTCCCTCCAGCCTGAGTACAAGTATGTGGATCCCATCTGCACCTTCCTCTTCTCTGCGCTGGTGCTGGGGACGACGCTGACCATCCTCCGTGACGTCCTCCTCGTCCTCATGGAGGGTAGGGACCCACCGGGGGTGTCCAGGCCACGGGGCCACCCATGGGCGCCGTGGTCCCAATCCCTCCAGCACCCACAGCTCTCCCTCCCCAGGCACCCCCAAAGGGATGGACTTCAACGCCGTGCGGGAGACGCTGCTGGCGGTGGGGGGGGTGGAGGCAGAGCACAGCCTC